TCATAACATCACTGTGTTCAACATTAAACTATGCTTTCTTTAAAGCTATAATACAGTCAGCCAGCCTGGAATTAAACATCTACTAGTCAATATATTTACTGACTCTGCTGGACTTTTACTGTCCACGTCTGACCTGGAGCATGAGGCTAAAGGTTGCTAAAGCTCAGGGAGAGGACACGGTGGTGGAAAACATCCAAACTGTTTACTCAAATGTGGGGGGAAAAAGTGAATTAGACACGTTTCCATTAACTGGAGGGAATTAACCAGGCAATGAAAGGCGTAAGATTGTCAAACGTTTAAGTTACACTTTCCTGGAACAAGAAGGAAGTAGAGTTGGCAAGCTAGCTGGACCACAGATCAGAGGGAGGTTTTAAAGAACGGGAATACCATTAATAATGGCAGGTTATACTTTATCACATCAGCTAGTGTTAGTGAGGCTACCTGTGATCCAGAGACATGGAGAAATCTGATTCTACTGCTAGCTTTCTAGACGTCTGCAGCGAATACAGCAAATGTGTTTCTAATTCCTCTTTAATGCTTTTAGAGACTGATCTCCAAAAGCTTTGCCTGTCTTAAAACAGGTGCAAACATGTTTGAATCATCTGAAGCAGGGTTCCATTCAAGCTCAGAACGATGGGAATTAAGGCAGTGGAGTCGCACATGCGAAGCACGAAACACAAAGCGTCAAAATGGAGTTACAGAGAAACAGCCGGTATTTCTCAGTTTAGTTCCAACCTTGTCTCTGCAACGCCTCCACTTATCACCAAATCAAACATACTAAGAAAACCATACAAAGAAAAATAGCTGCAAAAAAGACTTTTCAAAAATTTGAAACATTAGTGCAGTGGTTTTTGTTAAAATAAACCTTTGGGTTAAGTTGTCGCAAGCAGGTTTTTCTTGTGTTTCTTGTGAATTTGGTCTTAAATTTGTATTTCAAGTGGCATTAAAAAGTCTTGAATTTAACTTGCCTTATGCTGTAGGAACCCTGTGAAGGTATGCATGTCTTCACAAGCGGCATTATTTTTCTCCCTCATTATTACCTCAATGGCTTAGAACCTCATCTTTCTTCTATGGCTGCCCTCAAACTGCCTCTACCACACCATCAGTTTGCACGTATTAACATTTACACTGTGATATTTTTGGATAACGGCAACATGGCCACTTATCGCACTTACTAAACAAAAGTTGCACATGTGATTTAATGCCCCTTATTCTAAATTTTCGAAGATCAGACAATTACTTCATTTTTCAGTAAAATTCAAATCACCATCTCCAGGGATTGTCAAAACATTTTCAAATTTAGTTAGTTGATTTAAATGTTGCGTCTTCATTCAAGCTCTTCTAATGCAATGCTTAAAAAATAGACATAAAAAACGTTGATGGAAAGGCATCTGGTTGCCTTGGCAGCACTAAATTACCTTAAGGTGGATTTCCTCCTGTTGTCTGACCTGCTTCAGACAGAGGAGTGTTTTTCTTCCATAGCTGTAGATGGAAACGCTCAGACTAATTCATGGTCCAAACTTACTTTACTGTTGTTCAATTTTCTTCTACTGTGAATAAGAGCCTAACTCAGCTTTCCTGCAGAGACTTTAGGCTTTTAAGTACCTCTTGAGCCACCGTAGCAGAGACTTTGGGGTTAAATGTTAAATGTTATAAAATATTAAATGTAATTTCTGCTCTTTGGAGCAACAATCAAGAGTTATTGTTCCTCTAATATGAAAGGGAATAACACCAAATTAGGATTAATAAAAGTCAGGTTTTGGCTCCAAACTAAAGGAGTGTGTTGGTGAGAACGCGTCCTTAATCAGGTGTTTCTAAACTCATGCAGCTGCAGTTTAAACAGCTAAGAAAACTTCCATGGAAGTTGTCAATATTTTTAATTGAAGTGTAATAGAAAAAGTCAAGTGCAATTATTTCATTTTTTGCATTTCTTTTCATATTAATGTTTTTTTTTAATATATTTTCTTATTTTATTTCTTCAAATTTTAATTCCTCTGACGTTAGGAACGAAGACGAATTCCTGTTGGTCAACTAGATGTTAGCAACATTATTATTGGTCAAGAGCGAGTGTTTGAAGTGAAGAGAATGTAATCTGGAAATGCTATTTCAAAAGAATGGAGTTCCTAAAACTCAATATAAAATGAGAAATTTTGAAACAAAAATATTTTAAAATGTAAAATCTGTAAAAAAATAAATAAATAAATAAATAATAAAAAAAGAGAAATTAGAAAAAAAGAAAACAGCAAAGTTAATCTCAAAACCTTTTTTGATTAGAAACAGCTTCATGTCTGGTTTGAGTTTTATTTTTTTCCAATTTCCATTTCCGAATAGAAATTTGAACAATTTTGGAGTAAAGTTCCCTCCATAATAAACCCTCTAGAATGGATCCATTCCAGCTTTCCTAAATTCATTCCTGCTTCATCTCTAAAATCCTCCTTTTATTTCCTCTCCTTTTTATCGCTCAGTTGTATGAAAAGTAGGGATGCACGATATTGGGATTTTGGCTGATATCCGATATGCCGATATTTTAAAACTCATGTAGCCGATAACCGATATCAATACCGATGTTAAAGCTGGACATAAATAAGTAGTCATTGAAAATAGCAGTTTTGTTATCCATTTCTGACACTTTGAAAAATAATATACTCAAATATATTTTCATATGCTGATATCAAAAAGATTTTTAAAAACGCTGTATCGATCTATTTTACTTTCAAAATCTGGTGAAATTTCATCTTTCTGTTACAAACTCGCGTGATATTTTGCAAATTCTTGTGAGATTTTGTTAGTAAAATAGATCGATACCGCATCAATATATCAACATATAAAAATATGGCAACATTT